TGATAATCGTGGAACTGGAGGGATCCCACCCCCAGCGTCTCCACCACATGCGCCACCGCCTGGTTGAAGATGGAGAAGAAGGCGAGCTCCTCGGCCTCGCTGCGAAGAAGGGGGCGACAGGTAGGGGGTGGGGGTGATGCTGGGTGTCGCCATGGATGTACTGGGTGCACCATGGCTGCGTGCCCCGACCCCACACGCCCTGCCGGCCCCACCCTGCCAGCCACACACCTGGCGTGCTGGTAGATGGTGCCGCGTGTGCGGCGCGTGAAGATGTCGCTGGCCAGGAGCAGGAAGAAGACGGTGGGGTGGGGGTCGGCGTTGCCGCCGAAGCCGTTGGCCTTGGGCGAGGCGGGTGGCTCTGGCGGGGCGGCCGCCGTGACATACACGTCCACCAGGTGCTTGGTGCCGCCCACGATGGCGGGCAGGGACATGACGGGCGTGGTGCCGGCAAAGGGCTCACCCAGCACGGGGCCGGTGCCGGCGCCGGGGGCGGGCGGCGCGTAGAAGGGCGCATACATGGGGGCGCAGACCAGCATTGGGCGGGTGGTGTGGCAGATGAAGGTCTCCACCACCTTGCCCAGCCCGCCGTACATGAGCTGGCTGGTGAGGCCCAGGTGCGGAACCGCATACTCCAGCGCCACGTGCATCACCATACGCGGGGTGGTCTGAGGGGTGGGTGGGGGTGGGGGGAGGGAGGGAGGGAGGGAGGGAGGGAGAGAGGAAGGGGCAGGCAAGGTTGAGGCAGGCTAGTGCAGAAGAGGAGGAGGGGCCGAGGCGAGACAGGGCCGGCTGGCTGCACCCGCCGCCATCAGGGCGTCACTGCGGGGCGCTGGCAAGGGCGGCGCTCACCTTGAGGCAGTTCACCAGGGCGTGCAGCATGGAGCAGGGGCGGCGGCTGACGAGAGAGTCCAGCCTCAGGGCGCGGTGGGTGGACACCCGGGTGGGAAGCATCAACTCCTCCTCATCATCCAGCGCGTCCAAGTGATGCGGCCGGCCGGCGGCGGCGTCGCCCCGCTGCGTGTGGCTCTGGCTGCTCTGAGAAGGCGACACTGCAGCAGCGGCGTCGGCGGCAGCACCACAACAGGCGTTGGGTTGCTACCGGCCGACGCGGCAGCGGCGCCACCCCGGCGCAGCCGCCACCCGCCCGCCCCTCCACCGGCCGCAGCGTGGAGCCGCTTTCCACCCAGCCCGCCACAGCAGCCCCCACCTTGCATCATGTGAAAGGCTGTCGCCAGAGCAGACTCCCTCCTGGCCAAATCCTCCGAATCGGCCTCTGTGGCCTTACCCACACTCTTTTCAGAGTGCACGCTGTTGGCCGACACGCTGGCCTGCCCGCTGCCGCGCACCCCGCAGCAGCAGCAGCAGCGCCGCCAGCAGCGCCGCCACGCGGCCGCCAGCCAAGAGCAGGAGGCGGAGAAGTCCTGGGCCGGGTGGATGCTGCCCGTGCGGTAGTACTGTATGCCGTACCCCACGGCAAACCAGAGCAGCAGGGCGCCGCAGAGGGTGCTGAAGGTGACGATCAGGCCCTGCTGCCACAGCACCTGCAGCAGTGGCAGGCACGCCAGGCAGGCGGAGGCAGCACGGGGATGCATCAGTCAGACTGCCCATAGGAGCACCAGCGCGCGCACGCCAGCATGCACGCGGCGGTTACACGTCAGAGAGGTGAATCCGTGCATCGCTGCGGCATGCCCAGCACGCCCAGCACGCCCAGCGCAGCCTGCAACAAGGCACGCACCGGCCGGTTGTGCAGCATGACGAAGAAAGTGTCGGAGCGGACCCAGTTGTCGTGCACCAGCAGCAGGGGCTCGTCGGTGGGGGAGGGCTGTACCAGCGCCACACCTTCCTCCGACACCTCCACGCAGTACTGCGGCACAGGAGACACACAGCAGCGCAGCGGGAGTGGGACAGGCAGGCACATGGCGGAGCGACACCCCACGCAGCAAGGGGGCCGGCGCAAGAGCCGGACCGCAGCAGTGAGTGAGGCTGCACGGCCTGCCGCCAGGTCAGCGCGCGGAGCGGCTGGCACCACGGCGTGGCGGCGCGCCCAGCGCGCGCTCTCGCTCACCCCGCTGCGCAGCGCGTCGCACAGCGTGTCCCCCGCGAAGCTGGCCAGGCCCGACAGGTTGTAGGCCGCAGGGCGGGGACCCGCCTCCGAGTAGTTGCCGTTGGTCAGCACCACCACCATGTCGCTGCCGCGTGAGAAGGTGTAGGTGCGGCGGTCCATGTAGTGCTCTGCAATCGCGCAGGCGGGGCGGGGGCAGGACGGGTGTTGGTCGTTTGTGTGGGGGGGTGTTGGTGTTGGTGGTCAGGTGGGGTGGGGTGGTGGTGGCATGATCCAGGCACTGGGCTGTGTGGCACCCCCGCTGCCCGGCCGTGTCCCGCTGGGGCTGCGGCTGGCAGGCACGCACGGCAGCAGGCAGTTGGGGGCTGCTCGCTGGCCCACCGCTGCACGCAAAGCGCCCACATCCAGCGTCCTCAACGCGTCCGACAGGCGCCCCAGCACCGTGCCAGCCCTGCCGTGGCACCCAGCCACCAAGCAGCCGCCCCCTGCCCACCTGTGAACGACTTGTTGCCCAGGTTCATCCACCAGCGGTACCACGCCAGGGTGCGGATGTGCGAGTACAGCGGGTTGGTGTCATCGTACCCCACCTCCCACAGCGGCCAGCGATTGGTGTTGTTGCTGTTGAACCCAGTCATGCCCTGCTCCGCACCATAGTAGCTGCGGGCGGTGGCAGGCGGGGTGGTGGGAGGTTGGGGTGGGGAGCATGGGCGCATTCGGGGGAGTGGACTGGAGTGGACTCGATACAGTGTTCACTGCCGGAGGCACGCAGCAGTTGCCGCAGGAAGGCGGCCAGCCTGGGCCGCCCACCCCACCCAGCAGTGCATCACACACTTCCAGCAGCTGCGGTGCCGCTCCCCACTGGCAGTGGCCACAAGGCCGCTCCCCCTCCCCTCCCCTGACCGCCTGCCTCACATGATGGGTATGCCCTCCGCTAGCACTATGAACGCCAGAGCGTTGCGGTAGGCGGGCAGGCTGGCGCGGGTAGACAGGAAGCGGTCGGTGTCGTGGTTCTCCACCCAGTACCCCACGCCCCCCATCTCCACGCCATAGCTCATCAGCGTGGAGCGGGACTGGGAGATCTGCGGTGCCGCGGAGCGGTCCGGCCGGGCGTGGGTGTGTGCGCAGGCGCATAGCGGGTGCATGTTTGGCGGTTGCGGCGGCAGCGGCCGGGGGAGGCATGGCCCCCCGCAGCCCGGCAATTGCCCTCGGCAGCCAGCAGGCCAGCCTGCCCCGCACACGCGCCCCGCGCCACCACCCAGCCCCGCCTCACCTGCAGGCATCCCTCATCCCCCTCATTCGGGGTCGGGGAGAGCGCGAAGCAGGCGCTGGCGGCGTAGTAGATGACCCAGGACTGGTAGCTGTAGGAGGCGTTGCCGCGCACTGCGACAGCAGCGGGCGCGCAGGCGGGCGGGTCTCAGCTGGCCCGTTTCTCATGGCAGCTGCACTGCGCGCCCTGCGCCCTGCAAGCCCCTCAC